CTGCTTTGATGTATATGTCACTCAAATATGAACGGAACGGGGACGTGTCATTGACAATGACTTGTCTACTTTGTGTGATTTCCCTATTATTTGTTCACAGTATGTTATAGTATGCGTCAAGGCTGCATGTCTTATTTACAATTAGTTATTTATATTGTCATATTCAATAAGATTAACTTTCTCCTATAAGCAAGGCAGCTGATAATGATATTCATAGGAGATGCTTTATCACATACTACTTTGAAATTTGATATGATATAAATAAATACATAGTGCAAGCAAAATATGTTTTCAAAAATATGAAAATATGTGGATGTAAATAAATGAAATATTAAAAAAAAAAATGTGTATAATAATTCTATTAACAGAGGTCATTCATTTTGCGATAGCAGTGTATAGTGTTAGTATTTAGATTATTACTGAAAATATTACTTTATAACGTCAGTAGCAATGTACAACATGATGTAGGTGTTCATTAACCTATGCTACCGGTATTGAAACTGGGTGTGTACTGTAAATGCATTAATTATTAAAATGATTTTAATTTTGATATTCTTGCCAGTTGGGGGAAATTATTTGAATTGTTTATTATACAAAACGCAGTGGAACCTGTGGTTTCGATTATAGTAGTGAATTTAAATCAAAAATATTTAAATATTGTGGAATGCACAATCCTGTTAGAATAAATAAATACTTTCATATTATGGAGAGGAATTTGAATTAAGACATGGATGTGTTTTAATGATAGGAAAAATTAAGTAAAGCTTGATATTTCACTGAAAAATAGGATACCAGCATTCATAGATTCATGTTTATGAAGATGGCAAAATAAATTATAAAATCAGATTCTACTAAAAATACATTTGTAAATCATGACCCAGAGCTGTCTGCCATTTTGTTGTTTGTTGGTTGATATTAACCTGCTTATTTCCTCAAGAATTATGATCATGACCTACAAGAAGTTAACAAATATATTATGCAAATGAGTCCTGTATGCAGTATTCAATAAAATAATAATCTCAAAATGGTAAAGTGATTAAAACTGAAGATAGTTTTACTCAAAATTTGACTAGGCTGGAAGAGTTATTTTTAGTCATTGGTTGTGGTATTCCTGCATTTTTCTATGGACTTGAATTTAAATATGTTAATTTTATGTATGAGGTCACATCCTACAATAATAATAATAATATTATTAATATCTTTTATTATGCCTTAGTGAGATAACAAACCATTTTATGATTCAGTGTATTAATATATTTCAAAACTTGATGATAAAATGAAATAAAACAAATATGTAAAACAAAATAGGAATGATAAATTTCATGTTTGTGGAATAAATTTATATAGCGGTAAACAGCTGTGTATATTGTAATGCTATTACTAGTAGACCTTAGTACTAGTTGTATGGGTGTTACAAAGAATAAAATTTATATTATAAATCAATATTATGTATGATATCAAGTGTCAAGTGATATTGAAATGCAAATCATGATTTATGCAAACTCACTGCATTACTATTAATATATACCAGCACAATAGGCTAATTCTGTTTGCAAAAAAAATTATGTAATTCAGCCATTTTAACACGAACAACTACAAATTGTGACCCTTTTCCCCCTGCCAGCCGTGAAGGTGAAAAAACAATTTGATAATCCTAGATTATGCAGAGATGTGAATTTAAATATTGTGGCCAACGTGGCTCACTGTTGACAATTCACGAAGATATATTTGCTGAAGCACATATATGTTGTAGGTAATTAGTAATTAATTCAGGTCAGTTAAACATGATCATTTCATGGTAATTTTCATTTTCAAAATCCCTGCCCATGACACGAGTTAATTCTGCAGTCTATTATTCTATTCATAGGTTTGATTGGACGGAAATGTTTTTTCATTCAGTTTCTACTTGTCTGTATTTTATGTTGTTCAATCTAATTGCTGTGTTTTTTCCCAAACCTTTTCACTCCAGAAATGATTACACTGAACGATGTACCATCAGTAAATGATTTAGCTACAGGGATATCTTACAAATCTTTTTTAACATTCATATCTCGTTTATTGCAGGTCAGGCAACCAAAACTAATGAGAATTCTACAGAAAGTAAGCAAACCTTGCCAGATAATAAACCTATGGAATTACAAGAAGATAAAAATCTTCGTCACAGAGGAGTTGCCACAAAAACACACCAACCTGAAGATGTGAATGATAATACAGATGATGAAAGAAAAAAAATGAATTACTACCATGAGAAAGATGACAACGAAACAACAATAAGATCATTATTCACACCGACTAACAAGGATAATTCTGTCCAAGACTACAGCACAATGAGTAAATCAATGCCTAAATATGCCACACAACCGTTAAGTGCATCTAATATGAATAGTGGAGTGAAACGCAATAGTCATGAACAGTATGGCAGCTCTCTTCAAATAAAGAGTGAAGGGAAATCTATTTCAGACGCACAAGAAATTAAAAAGATTGAAAAACTTGAGAAACATAAAACTTGTGTTGAAGAAAGGATGGTTGGACGGACGTTTGATTATGTAATATCAGATACAAATGCTAACATTGATGATAAACGTCATGTAGGCACGGTCACTGGAAACTCTGGTGAGAAAAAATTTTCATTCCAGATCTCGCCTACTAGTAAAATGCAGTCACCTACATGTAGTACCACCATTGATTGGTCGAGCAGTGATGTCCCAATGAAGAAAAAACCATCGGAGGTAACACCGCAAGAAATTATTGATAAAATTGAAAAGTTACGAAAAAGAGTACATGGCTTGCAAGGTGTAGATTCTTCACCGCTCAGCAGTACAGTATACACAGCAAAACCAACAGGTGCAATAACAGCTTTAGGACCTTGTGTCAATGAGAACATTAACAGCACAAAATCAAAATCTGTTACACACAAGGTGGTAACAATAAGAGCACCAAGATTACCCGATGTAAACTGGGATGATAGTGGACCAAAATCACCCCCACCACAAGTTGCAAAACATTTTGAGAGTTACAGTGCCCCTGTTGCCCTTACGGATGAGCAAAGACTGGTTGCCAAGGTAACAGGAATTGAGAAAGATAATTTGGAAAATGACAAGCAGGACTGTACTTTAGAGGTAATGGAAGATATAGTGGGTGACATTGAAACATGCAAAATAAAAGATGAACCAGGACACCTCAAACAGTCAGTGGCTGATGAAAAAGATGTGATACTTAAAACTGACCCCTCCATCACCACTGGTAGGAAAACTCCACCAGAACCTGAAGAAGAAACTCTGAAAATTACACAAAATGTTGCTGTAACTAGGAGTTTTCTAGAAGATAGACCAGCTGGGAGTTTCCATATCTTGAATCAGAATAGACAAAATGATTCCCAGGGTGATGCAACTAATCCCTTGCGTTTTAAAGAGAATGATATATATAGCAGTTACCATAGCGATCCAGATAAGCTGCTTATCAACAGTCAGGATAAGGGAGCTATTCCGAAGCGTTATCCAAAATATGTGTCTGTGAAACCAGTAAAATATGTAAAATTTGCTGAGGAAAATGAAATTGATACAGTTAATATGGCAATAGATTCAGGATTCATGAAAGATGAAAACAGAGCAGGGAGTATGTCAAGAGGAATTCTTAAATCATCCCTAAAAAGAGTAGAGTCAGATCATGAAGTGGAAGTTGGAAATTTGTCTATAGAAGATGAAGCTGACATTTCCCCAATGAAGGCAGCAGACAATGAAAACATTATAGAGAGCACTGTCATACAAAAAACTAAAGATACTCAGTCTTTTTACAAAAAATTTCGGAGTTTGTCAGATGATGATATCCAAGTAACAACAACTGATGAAATGGATATGTTACCTCAACTGCCAATTTCAGAGCTAAATGCAGACACCCCGGAAAAAGAAAATGAAACACTACCCGAAGTGGATTCCGATGAGTGTGATAATGTACCCAAACACACCGATGTGCAAGACGCTGACGTGGAGATTGATGTTATAGAAAGGGCAGCAAAACTTCTTGGTCTTGGACCAGACGTGGTGGCTATGAAGGTACAAACTGCTCTTGTTGGCGAAAAACATTCTGATGCAATTATTGATGACTTTTATATCACACCACAGAATAAACAAAGCGACAAAAAGAATGATTCAGAAAAAGGGAGTTTAATTGAGGAGCAAGTAATAAGTGCATCTGTGAATGCTCCTTTCCAGAAAGATGATTCGATGAAAATGATGTCTGTTCCCATAGTTACTGAGACAAAGTGCAATACTGATTCAGTTAACATGCCTTTAAATGTAAGGCAGGAAGAAATGGCTCCAGTGAAGGATCCTCATCAATACAGTGATGTAGCGCCCATTGCTGTGGTAACTGAGAACAGATTGAAGAGTGAACGAGATAAAAGAAGAGATGCGTTCTTCAAGGATGTAATTGATGCTAAACCCATTTCCAGCAGTGAATCACAAAGTCCATGGGGTCACAGAGAATGGACATCCAGACGTGTTCCAAAGTCCTCAACAACATCAATGACTGAAGCTAGTAATGGTGTTAGTCAATCTGCCCCTGGCAATAACATGAAAACGCAAAATTTTGATACTGAGACAAATGATACTTTTCATGAAACAGCTTACAAAAAAGAAAATACAAGTAAAGTGTATAACAAGCATGCATTTGAAGATATCAGCTCGTATGTCATTAGTAGTCTTTTAGGCGATCTATCTGTAGGTGTGGACAGCGAGGAAACAAGCCAGGAAAATACATTATCTGAAACGAGTGAAGATTTTTCTTTGCAGTCACTGCCAGAAAGACAGTTTCTAGATGATATTCGTAACAAAGTTGAAAGTGAAGATGCAATGATGAATGAAAACAAAACTGGAAGTATGCAAGCAATTATTCACACGAGTGAAGATGAAGCATGGCACATAGGCAAGAGTGTGGTTGTCCAAAATGACAGTAGGGTTAGGGAGAGTTTTGAGAATGAAGATCTCTTGATGGATGAAAACAAATCTAAAGTGTTTGACCAAAATGAGAGCTATGTTCAGAATGATGTTGAGGATGAAGACTCTGTGATGAATGAACACAGAAATGAATGTGTCCAAGCAATTGTTCATACCAGTGAAGACAATCTACAAGATATAAATATGATAACAGAGAGAGAAGCTGACTCCACAATGACTGAAAATAAAATTTTACATGCACTTATTCACAGTGAGGATAATATACCAGATGTAAACAAGACCATGGTTGTCCAAAGTAAGAGTGGTACTGTAAAGAAATCTAAGAACATATTAGTTGTACAGCATGAGAACATTGATGGTAAGGTTATAGAAGAAGTGAAGCAAGATTTCATCAATGAACAGCTTAGTGAGGATAATCCTGTAAATTTGTATGCTGACAATACCTTTCCTAGAAATGTGACAAAGACACCTCCGACTCCTCCGATACGTAAAGTCTTCCATCCCGATTGGAAAATAAATAAATCGGAACCAGTGATAACCGAACAAGACATCTCAAATACGCAGATACCTGCAGCTACTGAGGATGAAACCAATGATACTGATGTACTTGTACCTGTCATTGATGATTGGATAAGTAGTCCAGCTGTGAGCATTTATACATCCGAAACTGTTGACGAAATGGCAGAACCAACAGTTCTCGAGAACAAGCAACTGTACTCAACAAAAGAAAATACCACAATACCAGATTCTCAGTTAGGTTCAACTTCGACAGCAATTTCCCAACCAGTTCAACAAGAACAGGATCCAGATGCCATAACACGTGCAATGGTAAAAGCTGCAATTCAAAAACTCGAACACACTTCAACACATGCAACTACTGAGAAGTTTAATATTGACTCTCATAAAGATGCAACTCCAAAGATTCAAGATGCTCCCAAGATAGAAACAGTCACAGCCAAGTCTTCAAATCCAGCACCTAAATTGATAATACATCCTCCCAAGACAGATAGTTCATTTAAGCAGAGATTAAGCGGTAAGTTAAAAAGTCCCAGAATTCTTAGCAAGAAAGATGTGCTACTCTTTGAATAATATATTGTTTGTCCAATCCATTAAATCTCAATAAGCGTGAATCTGTTCATACTTTTATAATTTCAACCACCTGTTGAATTGCTTTGATATTTACATGTTTATATACCATGCAAGTAAATGAATGGCGATCTAACTATGCAGTTTTCATTTTCGTTCACAGTAAAAATTCTATTTTCTACTACTGCTTGAGAAACATGTGACAGAATACATTAAAAAATACTGATTTTTATTCGCCATGTTTTGAAATATTAGTGGCTTTGATCAACCACAACCTAGTATAAACAAACATGTGTATTAAACAAGCTCTTAAATGATCGGTTATAAAATCAACCCCCATATTTGTCATGAAGATGCTCAGTATATTGCAAACCAAGGGACAGACCTGGAAATCAAAACCTTGTCTATTGGTTGGCTTAATAAATTAAAACATCAGTTGTCTGTTCGTGTGTAAATATGTATAAATTTGTTCTGTAATCTGAAATTTTTTATGATTGGTAAGAGTCATATTCTGAAAGAGATAATCATTTAGTGATATAGGAAAAGATTGTTGTATTGCATGACATATAAGCTTGGATTTTTTCTGTATTGTTTTTTGGGGAAAATCCCCCTCGAAAATTAAAACTATTAAGAATAAATACTTGTCATCCTGCCAAATTGTTATTTTTCAAATATTTTTTCAAAACTTTTGATTGAAACCTGTAGCAAATGGAATATTTTGCCCATATGATCAGAAATAAACAAGGAAAGGAAAATTTTAAATAAACAAAAATGTACAAAACGTTGCACCAGAACTCAAAAGTTGGCAGGAAAAAAATTTCATTCAAAGAGCAGCATGATTTTTCCGCTAACATTTTGCCTATTTTTGCGTATTTTCAGTAATTTGTTTTGATAATTGTTTGTACCACAAATATACCTAATTTTCTAGTGGTTGCAGGTTTTGGAATACTTGTATATATAAAAATATTCTTTGTAAAAGGGGACAAAAGGTGGTGACATATGGAATTGTGCTTGATAATGATTTTTCTTTACTTCACCAGGTTTTTATGATGATAACTATGAATTAGAGAGTAATATTAGTGCTGGGTCAATAGATGGCAACAAAGTTACAAAGAGTATTCAAGCTAATCCAGCACTATCTGCAGGTAAGTCAATACTACAGAAATGTCTTGAGTAATAGTAGTTTTAGTAATGACGATTTCATGGGATATTTAAGAATGGCTAGTGTTTTACCCTCCATGTTTATTATACTTTTGTGGAAACCTTTTCATCACTTTGTTACCATCCACAAACTAGTCCACCTTTAATTTTACTTGCTATTATATGTTTGCATAAAAGATATTAATCAAAATGTAACATAACCAGTGAGGAGAATGGACTCCTGGAGAGTACGTTTGATTTATACTAGGGTCTCATTTCCTGTTAATTTGAAACTAAAATTATGCAGGTTATCAGTAAATGTTTGGTCTCTGCAGCTGCAAATATTTCAAAATACATCCCCACTCTGCAGTGTTGTTTTTTTTCTCTATCACACACATTGTACAATAATAGATTTGCACCGTACCTGAGCGTAAATTTCACAAATCAAAGTTGTAATGAATCGTTAAAGATATTTTCCAACAATTTAAAATATCTATGGGTTGTTAACTTCATTGCAGTGGGGGGGGGGGGGGTGATCATCTTGCATTAGTAAGAATGTTAATATATTTTCAGAACAAAGCTGAGAATAATTTAGCGGTTCCATTACAACAGAATATGAAATACTTGTCCTACACTGCCTCAGAATTTCTGCATGGTTAATATTGTGTTATATTCAAATAATACAACTTAAATTATAATTCTAGTTATGAAAGTGAAGTAACATGACAATGTAAATGTATAGATTAATTGAAATAGAAATAAGAATTAATTTAAATTTCTGATTTTCCAAAAATAACTTATTATTATTTTAAAAAGCAACATTGCATATTCCTTTAATTGCACATGATAAAACATTCTAAGAGGAAGAATAGCAGCCATTATATGTTTGTATTTATTTTGTTGGTCCCTGGTGGAACACGCGTTTTCAGCGAACCGTTGAAATACAATAAATCTTGGTAGACCACACCTAGGTGATCGTAAGCAACTGTAATAACTCTTTTGTGATTACTAGTGTTAGCTAACCTTCACGTACCTGGTTCATTTTTTCCAGCATTGCGTCTATTGTAAAAAATTAAGGGTATTTTTCATGATAAAATCAAACAATTTTGCTATTGCTTGTATGTACCCATCATTTTTTATGATAGAACAGTTTGGATGAACACAACACCGTCCAAAAAGGGGACTATTAATAGATTATACATATGTTATTTTTGAGAATATGTAATTGATACTGATGCCAACATCACAAGCTCTTATTCTTTGTATTAAGAAATAATTATTCAAAATAAATGTTAAATTAAAATAATAATTTAAAATTAAATATTTTTTCTATGATTGGCATCAAAATCTAGATTTGTTAAAATATTAAGCTACCATTTCCTGGACATTTACATAGTAGCAATGTAGTTTTTATACATTTGGTTGCCCTTGATAATAAAACTTTGATCTAAATTTTGCATCCATCAATAATCAGTCAAATATTTACAAAAGAATTACAACATTTCAAGAATTCATCATTGGTAAACATATTTCAAAATTGTCTCAGGAAACATATGGCGAAAAACAGATAATATGCGGCTAAATATTTCTGTGTAATATTGCTTTGGAATCGTTGCAAAATAATAAATTGTGCTAGGTTTTCCCTTGAATTAATTTTTCATACTGGGTGAAATGTGATATATTTATAGATGAAAATTCACGCGAACGACCTTAAGAATAGTAACCTTTGACTTTTGAAAATTGATCTCATTTTATTCATGCAACAGTTGGCATATTTTACCATCTGATGCTGAGAAACATTTCAGTGAAACAGCTTGTATTGTGGTATTTCTGAAATCGGGATATTGATCTCTAAGCAGATAGAAAAAAAGCAATTCTAGGAATATTTTTCTGTAAATGTTATAATAACGTATATGTGAAGTGAAAAAAAAGGTTTTTAATTTTGTAAATTTCATGAGTTAGGGAAAGTTGTTAAATTTTGTAGCAGTGAATATTTTCATAGGGTCCCTGGGGAGTCATAGCGACTCAAAATGTCATAATCATCAAGGTTTTAACATTTGACTGTATTGTATATTTTTTGATTACTGTAAAAGAAGTATAGACCAGACTAATTATGTAATATATGATGTAACAGGTGGTACTAAAGATAGGATAAAATATGAAGGACTGTCTTAGCTTCACAGGAAAGTATGGGTCAAAGGTCATAGTAGTAGTGACTGATCCAAAATAATTTTGTCATGCCAGGTTATTTATTAGAAGTACTAACTCGTTGAAAATAATAATCATTTCAGGTACCCGTTTTTAATCATGCTTCGTATCGTAAATTAAATATTTGCTCTTTTTCCTGTATCAATTGCAAAGAAAGTTAGGAATTAAATATTTGTTGTTGTAACGATGGCTCAGGTTTGTGCATGTTACCATTCTGTGTTAAATAAAGACCGTGTGTTTGTGGATTCAGACTGCAACTAGAAATGGTATTCATGCACAAGGTCACATAGGTCACTGGGAATGTCATAAATTTGGTTTTCCAAATGATGCAAATTTGATGTAATTAATTTTGCTGGGGCTCATTGCCATCTTTATGATACTGTAAAATGACTAATTTTAGGCATATTCAGTGGGTTTTAAATTCAGTTTTATCATTTAGATAATGTGTTTTATGCTAAATTTTACATATTCACTGGGTTTTAATTTAGCGCATTTTCCAGTCAGCGAAATGAGCAAAATTGAATCCCAGTGAATAATTAATCTTTTTACAGTATCATTCACACATGTTTGTATTACGCCCTCTATGTTCATACTGGAAATGTTGTTGTTTACAAAACAGATTTATGTTTTAGTCACCTTTGCAGTCTCTTTTTACTTTATATCACACAGAAGCTGAAGATTTTGAGATGTTGTTTGAATCTATTGCAAGATGGGATACACGAGAATCTCTTGAGCTGATGAAGAGAGTTGAATTGACTGCCAAACGTGATGGATTTACAGTTTTACATCAAGCGGCCGTCTACAATATGCCTATTATTGTCACCGGTTTATACGTCTATGGTAGTTACCAAGAAATCGTGGACATGCTAGCAGGATCTGAAGCTGGCATGTTTTCAGGTTTGTCGGCTCGAGATGTTGCAGAAAAGTGTAGAAATGTCACTGTTATGCAGATGATTGATAAGTATCGGGAATGCGAGTATTACCTGACCTCAATGCATCATGCAGCTCGTGGAGGAAATTTAGCTTTAATTCAAACATTGTGGGAAAACGGTAGCAATATTAACATTGCTGGTAATCATGGTAACACACCTCTGTACATGGCTGTTTGTGCAGGTCAATTACGGGCCGTGCAGTTGTTGTTAAGGTATGGTGGCGATCCAATTATTGTATGTGATCGAGAGAAAACACTATTACATAAAGCCGCAGAGTGGGGACACCTACATATTTTGAAATATCTGGTCTCTGAGTGTGGCTTTGATGTAAACGTACGCAGTAAAGATGGTATCACACCATTGCATTTGGCAGCCTCTTATGGCAACCCTGTTATTGTGAAATTTCTACTTGATCATAAAGCTTTTATTAGTATCCCTTCAAATTTTAATGAAACACCACTCTTTTGGGCGATCGCCAATGGCAATGTTGAAGTGGTTCAGATGATGGTAAAGAGAGGTGCACGCTCAGAGTTGAAACCGCATAGCACCTTGCGAGCACGAAATCTGAATTTCTTTCATGTTGCATCATCAAGTGGCCATGTAGAAATGTGTATGTACCTCTTAGATTTAGGGTTTAATATTCATGACGTTACGTTCAAAAGCATGGAAATGAATACTTATTATGCCGAGGGTGTCACAGCATTGCATCTTGCCGCTGGACATGGGCATCATAACGTTGTTTATTTCCTGGTGGACCAAGGGGCTAAAGTAGATGCCCGAGATCAAGAAGATTGCACAGCGTTACATTATGCAGCTGAGCAAGGTCATCCTATCACTATTCAGAAACTGATACACTTTAACGCATCAATAAATGCTCAAAATTGGCATCTTTACACACCTCTGCACAAAGCAGCACTACATGGGCACTTAGCAGTCACTGAGTTGTTGATTGATAATGGTGCTTACATTGACTTGCCAGTTTTGAATGATTTTGGTGGATATACCCCTTTACATCTTGCAGCTGCTGAAGCCCACTATGATGTTGTCCAACTACTTGTCAATCAAGGAGCTTCTCTTGATTTCATTGACAGCTGCAAACAGACACCACTCCATTTAGCTACAAAGAATGGGCATTTAGAAATTGTTCAGTTATTATATTCTAGTGGTGCCTCACTTAGCATGAAAGACTATAAAGGTGAAACTCCACTCAGTCTAGCACAGAAGAAAAAATATTCTGAGATCTCAAAATTTTTGAAAGCGAATGGCGCTACTGGAAAATCTTCCCTGAAAAAAAAGTTGTTCAAAATAGGAACTCCCAAATCTTAATACCATTTAATTTAAAAATTAAACCATGCGATTTTTCTATAGAGCACTAATGTATCTATGGAATTCAATGGATTTCTGTAGAATACTATAGATTGAAAAATACCCTAAGACTACAATAGAATGGAGTATCTGTAGAATCCTGTAGAATGGAATATCTTTAGAATACAATGGTTATATGTAGAATCCAATTGATAAACTGTAAAATAGACTTTCTATAGAATACAAGTTCTTTTAGATAATCCCATAGAATTCTATATGTATAGAAGATAAAACATTTCTGTAGAATCCAGTTGATTATATATAGTATAGAATATCTATAAAGAACAATGGATATATGTAAAATGCTATAGAATGCAATGTCTAAAGCATATCAAATGTTACCTGTAGAATACAATTAATAATCTATAGAATGCAATATGTAAAACATATAAAGCATTACCTGTAGAATACAATTAATAATCTATAGAATAGAATATCTATAGAGAACAAGTTATATGTAAAATGCTATAGAATGCAATGTCTAAAGCATATCAAATGTTACCAGTAGAATACAATTAATAATCTATAGAATGCAATAATATTATTTAAAGGACATAATAATTTAACAATTGACAATTGATTATGCAGGTGTTTTGTGTGCTAGTCTGGGCAAGCTGCTTCAAAATTTGTGTCAAAAAACACCTGGGTCTTGTTATATACTAGGTTTAAAAAATGTGTATTAAAGTCACCATCATGTGACCTAAATTACACCCTCTGGAGGTGGAAAGGGAATTCCAGAATCAAAACACCATCATTAAAGGAATTAATTGAATGATGAGTAGTAATGGATCTCGTGCAATAAGAATAGACTTGCGAGAATGAAACAGGATTGTGAAAGTTTAAGATCAAATTTTACTTTTTTATGCAAGTTTGAAGTTTTTATAAAGAGAGAGATTTTGGAAATGTATATAACATTCTAGTATAGTACCTATATTTTACTCAATCAAGACTAATTTACCAGGTCTGTGCATTTGGATATTTTTTTGACAGCATTATGAATATTAAAATAATTCCTTGATTTTTTGGGTGAAATTCAGTAGTTTTCAGATGTATATTTTTCCATTTTTATCAGTGCTGATATTATATTTAAATTTAGCAGCAATATCCACTGTAAACCTTGACAATATAGAGTTTTAGCTTTTTGTACTTTTTAACCACCATAGAATGACTCTATAAATAAACCTTCCTATCTACCGTAGATATATTCAGATGTAAATTGTAAGGTAGATCAAGATGAAATATTAATTGCAATCCTGTGAATTAGTGCAGTAGAGTATTGTGTTTAGAATTAATACCTAGGGGTATGAGTAAATGTGATATTTAATCCTTTAGTTGGGCTGAACAATTTGAGATGCTGATGTAACCTTGTTTTTTATACTTGATTTTTGAAAGAAAATTGTCTGTCAGTAAAGTGAATGAACCAATTAGTAGGTGGTTAACAGTTAAATCCATATGCAAATTAGTTTGGGATTTCTGATGTTTTCTCACATGTATGCATAGTTACTGCTTATATATACCCGCATAATACATTTTTAGAACTGACCATGTGCAAAATATTGGATATATTAATGATAGACTTGTTACTGCCATGCTATAGATGTGTGTTTATGTGAGAAATCAAATAATCACTTATCGTCAATTAGAAATGCTAATTTGCTTCATAAATACATGCTATGAAATATAAAGAAAGTAATTCTGAATCTTTGGTTCAAATTGGCTAATGGTTACAGACAAGAGTACAGAATTAAACTTATTTCCAGTTTATTATCGTCGTATCAATATTGCCATCATATTTATTGCCATTGTCACTTATTCGCACGATTCACAAAATTGTTCTTTATACTCTCTGCTTGCCTTACCAAAATTCACCTTGATTGAATTTGACCAAAACGTGTAAACATTATCTAATTAGTTTTAGCCCAAATATCTTGTACTGGTTCTTTTAGTAGCAATGACAGAGATGAGTGTGGTCAATTTATATCATAATTTAATAATGAAACATATAGTGAATACAAAATGTGTGTGCTAGCAATTTGATGGAAAATTCCGTTTGTGAAATTTGTAAACTCTAATATCACATATTCTATACATATCACTATACAACAATACCTTCAATATATTTGACCTTGTATTTAAATTTGTAAAACGATTTTTCTTCTGCCTTTGTTTTAGATTGTTTGTTATTGGTACAAAATATATCATGTTTGGTGTCTAATCATATTACATTTTATAATCCCACCAGATGTATTCAATTATTTAAATATTTATTCAAGTTATATAAAACTAAGAAAACATTTTTGCATTTGTTTTCTGCATGTCGACGACTTTCACTGTCAGTTATGCATACCAACTGTGTTTGCTCTCGTAGAAGTGCACAAGCCGAAAATTGCTTTTATTGTACGTTTGCTGGATAATTAAACATGACTTATTTTGATAATAGTAGACACACCTGTCATTAACATAAGCATGTGCACTACTAATAGAGAATTACAGTGTTGTGTGTCTGTATATATATTCTGAGGGACTTTGGAAGTTATTTTGTTTATATTTTAATGAAGTGATGTTATTTATCATTAACTGCCTAGTACCATAAGCATTTTGGGAGAGGAAAATGACAGAATTATAAAACATGATTCTAAAAGTATATTTATTAGTATCTGTGGTATGGAATACTACATTATTGCATAATTACATTCATTTATGATATAATCACACTAAGTTAAATATTTATACATGTATTGTTTTTAATTATTCAGTGTTGCACGTCATGTTTATTTTGAGGTTTACAATGTGGCACATATCACAGATTTCAAAAGTAACTTAAATACAACTTCTATCGCAATTACATTTTTTCATGCTGTACTTTCCAATGTAATTCACATAAATATATATATTTATCAAGATTGTTTTTCTATAAGGGTATATTTTTTATGTTATGAATGGTGATGTATACTTTATGCTATATTGTGTTCTATATGATATATTTAAAGATTTTATTGCAAGATGCATTTTGTTTATACTCCACGGTGTATTGTGTCTCTGTGTGATATATTTTAAGTCATGTATTTTATTTGTATATAAATGTTATGTACTTTATTGTAACCGTGATGTCTGCATTTACAATTTTTATCAGTCTGGTGTCAAATTTTTATTTTATTTACATACTCATTCCTTCTTAAAATACACACAGACATAGGATGTGGTGTTGAAGTCTTCTTTAGATTCTTACAGTTAGTTTTCCCTCTGATACATTTTACTGAATGATTTTTTTATTATAATTTTTAAAAACTAAATTGCTGGCAATACAAGGGAACCCTATCAATTTAATATTTTTTTTCAAAATTTGTGCATACTTTTTTAAATGCATAGTTTAATAAGTAATAATAATATGTATGTTTGAGGTTTGACACATGGTTATCTAAAATGTACCGGGTATCATGGTTAAAGAGGGGTTGAGAGAGTGATGTTACCATGATCGCATTAATTATTCACTTGATTTTAGTTTCACTATTTCACTTGCATTCACTAAATTAGAGAGGTTTAAGCCAAATTGAAGATAAGTCATCTTATTCATGTTTTCATTATTATAGATAAATGCCATTAGAATACTGAAAAGGGTCATTGTACAACTTTGCACGAGATAGAGTGCATAATATCATGGAAAATGGTTGTATAATATAAATATTGATATGAATATTAATATTATTGAAAAATTTAACAAAATTAAGTGTTATAGTTTTCCATTATATACAAGGTTAAGTCCCATAATGCATTGCATATAATGCTCAGTACGGTAGTTCAAAAATTGAATTTGGCTCGGACTCCTTTAAATCCATGTGAACATATAAAATTACAATCGAACTTGTTTCAGTTAAAATGCAGTGAATAGTCTCAAAATAATGAAATTAAAAATAGTTGAATGTAAAATGCCTATTTGAGGGTAAGTTTCATTGACACGCATCTACAATACACTCATTTTGAATAACCCATGGATTTGGCTAATGATTACTTTATAAATATTTTAATATCGGTAATATTAGAATCTGAGAATGGCAGTTGAAAACAGTTCAACCAATCACACTAACTGATTTTCACATCACTGATATAAAAATTTCGAAATGACCTTAATGTCAACCAATCGGCACTCTGCGACACAATATATCATTCTTATGAATCACAATTTGATGTTGTAATTCAAATCAACATTTTAAAAATTTACAAAAATGTACTTGTCAACAAGATCCATGGTTAATCCGAAATGATTTGTACTGGGTTTAAAATCAATAATGTAATTCCAATTTTTTATTCATAATCATTCATTTTATATTTACATAATATTGTTATTACTGTTTTGGTTGTACATGCTTGAAAAAAAGTGTTATTAATTTATGTGAATTTAGTATGAAATCATTAATTTTCACTTGCATTTACTTTTACTATTTGTACATGTACCTGTGGGCAACATGAAACCCAATGAAACATTAGTGTGTGTGTAATCTTGTTATGAACAAAGTGGGTCCCATTAGTTTTGGATTATTAGTACATGTATGTATAACAACATTTGACCACTATGTCCACCCCTCCAGCCTAGAATTATAACAATAAAAAGAAAATGGATACCATTGTAATTTTAATTTTCTTGTTTTGGTCTTTTGGATCTGTAACACGACAGGTGCCCTGACTATATGGATGTTTTCTACACATTATAAATTCTCCATTCCAAAAGTCTTTGTTTTTTTATTATTTAGTTATTTTCACAATATTTTACTCTCTGTCTTGTCTAATGTGTTTTTTTAACTTGTGCATGTATCACATTAATAAATTCATGTGAAAGCAAAAGCATTGTTTTTATTTTTACTGATATTAAAATAATTGAGAAACTCTCTTTGATGATGATAAAGATGGGGTGCAGAGTTTAGTTTGCCATTTTTGAATATTACGCTAGTAAATAATTATTTTCATGTTTGAAACCCCAAGTTATGGCGAAACCTAACCAAAACCCTTCGAAATATACAATATGAAGTATTACAATTGTGACTTGTGCAATTAAAAAATGGCATTCATAAATTCATGATATGACTATTATGCACCTTTATACTCCAAAAATGCCTAAATGTGTCCTTAAAGTACCAGAACGTGTTACCTTCAGGAGTTATGCAGACCGTCAACGCGTGCTTAGAATAATAGACTTTTTTTTTATAAGGTCTATGTTAGAACCTCTTATGAGGGAACGAGTGATGTAACAAAAAAAAAACAGTGGCACATTGTATATTGACGCAGGTGGCGCTGTTGTAAAGTTTTCAAAATGGCGGCAATTCTGAAGTTCCAGCGAAAAACCAACATTTAAAAGAAATTATGTCGATTTTTTTGTTTTCTACATGGAGCATTCTGGTGGAGATCTATTCTTTAAAGTTGAAAAGTTGCTATTTGAAGGTAAGTGGCAGAATTAATTATCTAGCCCAACAGATAAAGCTTTGGAGAACTGTCACGTATCGTGTCCTAACTTGCAGCCGTTGTGTGTCTAACGACAACTGTCCATTCAACCAAGTTTGAATATTAATATATTAATTTATGGCACAGTGACAAGGCTGAAAACCCACGACCGAAACGTCCGTCCACACTTGGAAACGAGTCATTCCGAGTACACATATTTTCTTAATATTCACGATCAAAGGTAGCTGCGGTTCCGTAGCTCTTTGGTGCGACATACAATCGAATTTTGCCCTATAAACAATTTCATTCGGACGTCTTGTTTTTATTTTTGTTGGGCCGGTCAGAGTCTGTCACGTAAATAATGCGGTCGACAACATAGGGCTATGATTCCACAGCTAGTTCAAAGGGGATCATCGACGGCGTGTGTTTTGTTGTAGATAATTTCATAAACAGTCCGTAGTTATGAACGACCAAAAGTTCAGTCATCAGTTCAGTCCAAACATGGAAGTAATCGTATTTCCACGGCGCATTAACTGATCTAAGTCTTGTCGACCGTCGTGCTTGGAATGTGTCAATTAGTCACCAGTGTTTTCGAACGGCGCGCGGAGTTTCCGGTTTAATTAGCATAATAATGAATTGTTAGGTAAAAACATAGATGATCAAAATGACGCCAATGGCCCTGTGTTTTGATCTGAACAGCAAACGTTTTTTGAAAGAGCCACGTGTGGGTGTTGTTGTTTCGTACGATCGGTAGGCAAATAAAATGCATGAGTCAGCGTGTATGCACATGTTAAAGTAGGCGTTCGTTATACCACATGCACTCTCGTCTCCTCACTTGCATGTGTATCATCTAGGTGTGGAACTAGTACATTAGTGCGTTTTATTACCTAATTTTAAAATTGTATGTGTCCTGTGTGTAAAAATGCCATCATCACTCCTCACGTTACTTGTAAATGGTGTGCTGTATTTTAGAGTGGACAACATCAATTATCAAGGTAGGTTTAACTCGTAAACTACATGGTCAAATCACTGTTGATGATATAATCACAGTGTCTCTATCTGATAGAGGGACTGTGATATAATGTATACATGTACTGAATTAAGTCATGGGTATGATGATTTTATCAATTCACTCCAGGTGTTACAAATTAGTTGTACACCAATTAGAAAAGACTTATTAATCAGAGGAAGATGCAACACTGTATAATAGAAAATTCTGTTTGAAGGCTTGGAGACGCAATGACATTTATATTAACCTAAATGTTCACAGATAATGAAATTGTTCATATACTAGTATATCATTAATATATAAATTCGCATAATTTTATTTTATAAAGTGCACCTTGCCTGGTCATGATCAAGTATGTCACTTTATAGTCATTTGACCTACAAATCCAGCGTACATGTATTTATCCTAGATTTTAAACTTTACACAAGAAACCTAGTTTTTTAATACAGTATTTATAAATTTCAATGGCAGTTGAATCAAACCAGCCAATCAATGAGTGCGGTGCGTACTGATAAATAGTGCTTGATATCATTACATCTCTTTCTGTTTGTATTAAAAATTTTAAATATTTAAGAAAATTAAAAGAAAGAGTATGTAAATTGTTGTGTCAATAGTATGTATTTATAAAAAAAAAAAAGTGTGCCCAGCTTTTGGTTTTGTAACTTTGGTGGGAGGACATTTTTTTGCACACAGCATAACTTGTTCATCAAAATCATCATGTCTAGTCTTGCTACTGGTAGATATACCAGCGACTGTGATTACTCTGACATTGTTTATGCCAGACGGGTGTTAACAGCTGTCTGTCAGTTTCATGTTTAGGGCTTTTCAAATGAATGACTTTCTTATCAAAAGTCAAGTAGCATGAATGGATCACTGGATAAAATACAGGTAGCAACAAAGATGTGTCTTTGTATTGCACTACATATACCACCACTGTCCAGTACTTGTTCATTATATGCTGGCTCTTTCTAATATTTGTATGTGCTATTCAATGGCTTGTTTATTTATTTACAAAAAAAATGTTTAATTGTTTTAATAGCTTACCTGCAATTAGACATATACTGTAAAATAACTAATTTTCACTGGGTTTAAATTTCGCTGATATAGCATTTCAGGCATATTCAGTGGGTTTTAAATTCATGGTTTTATCATTTAGATAATGTGTTCTATGCTAAATTTTACATTTTCACTGGGTTTTAATTTAGCGCATTTTCCAGTCAGCGAAATAAGCAAAATTAAAACCCAGTGAATAATTGATTCTTTTACAGTAGATAATTTTAAGCCTTCATATGCCAGTCTAATGATTACACACAAAAAAATCAGTTCAATGAAATACATGTACAATACTACTTTTACTATTGTTGAATACAGAATACAGACTAATGTATTATCCAAATTAACACGATGAACATGAGTTTCCAATATTTTCTAAATAACAGTTTATGAATTGTTGCAAATGAAGTTTACGCCAGAAAATAAAAATGCAATTATCTTGTGGCTGTCTTTGTTGTACATTGCGGTACCTCAAACAGAACATTGTGGCTCACTATATTTTTGGTTTCAGAATTGTTTGACTGGTCAGACCCTAAACAGAGATGTAATGTGCACAACTTGAACACTGCCAAAAGGAAACTGAGACGTCAGAGCAGTACACCTGCTGGAAACCTAGTGCACATGAATGGTCAAAAGATTGCTTTATTTCGTTATAGTCATCGTGTATATGCCATTAACGAACAGTGTCCACATGCAGGTCAGTAATTTTTATGTAAATTATGAAAAAATATCACATTCCAGTAGTTTCCAATTTCTGGACTACATAATTAATGAAGTTATTAATAGACATACACTGTGTTCACATGATTTTCCAATATTATTGAAACCAATGAAAATAGGGAAACAAAACTGAGTACATACAAATTATTCAAAGTAAGTTATGACATGGAAAATTATTTGCAATAATTTCAACTTCAAAAAAATTATCTCAAAATTCTGTCTGAGTGGCCAAAATTTAGAAACAGAACTACGGTAGGTAGAAGAACAAAACCCAAAATAGAATTTGAAAATAGACATTGTAAAAAATGTAACATTAGGAGATGAAAAACAATTTTGCTATTCTGTGCTTGCTATTTATAAACAAAGAAAAAAAACTGTTTGATGATTGTGCAATAAATATTTACACAATGGATGTGAAATCCATAGTTGTGTTCACGTTACACGAAGTACGGGCTAAGATTTAAGCTGATTTAGGCTTATCGAGCATATTTGCATTTCGGCTAGACCCAATTGCGTCCACGCACAGGGAGGGCCAGGTGTTAGCACGGGCTAAGGGGCGCCTTCAGTCGGTGACCTTTGACAAGCCGCTGTTTACGAACGAAAAATGGAACACGCGAAGTTCTATTTCTGCTGCTGAAATGTTTCGTTCTAATTTTGAAGCAACGTGCACAGGAACGCGAGAGAAGACGGGCCCAACTTATTTGGATGCACAGAAACAGTATACAACCGCGTAACAGAATACAGAGTTTTATTAATGCATGTCGTAGACAGCAAACCAAATTTATTTTTTCTACGATTGGAGCTGCTGTACACTCTACTACAGTGACCCGATCAGTGTGGAAGCGTGTACACTGAGCTCGGTTGCCATTTTGGGAATGAGAAAGTTAGATATATATTATCACGTGTATAATGTTCACACCCAAAGGTCGCTGCAGAGGGTGCTTAGCCCTGGGCTAAGCGTTCGCGCACACGTCGTTAGCCCGTGCTAAGGGTCTAGACCGCGTCTTAAATTCGGATCAGATTTAACCCGTACTTAGCATTCCTTAGCCCGTGCTAAGCGTTCACGCACGTTTGCTTAGCACAGGCTAAGGAATTTGATCTCTTAGCCCGTGCTAAGGAGCTGTGCTTGAACGCAACTAATATTTCAAAGGATTATGCTGAATAAGATAGCCTTTGCAAAATATTTGAATTGAACAATTTTTAAAACCACAGAAAGTAATTACCGGTAATTTATTTTTTCTTTTATTTTTACTGACAATTTTCCTTTTAATTTTATCTCTTTTGAATTTTGTGTATTGTCTTTGTATTTATTTATGTTCTTTACCATACGAAAACCCTCTGATGGTTTTTAGTAGTGTAATAAAGTTATTATTATTAACTTTTTTGTGTGACCTTTATGCCGATGTAACTTATGTACCGGTATACGTTGTTAAACTCAAAATATGCAGATTGGTTCCAACATTAAGCTAACAAAAGATTAGCTCATGTTCCAACAAGTTTATATGTATGTTTATTATTATGACATTTACATGACCCAGAATTGTTAACTATAATTGCTTGATTGAAAAAGTACACAAAAGGCAGAAATATATGATCAAACAAAACATTGTCTATCTATGAGTCAGCTCTTATTGTAATGTTCTCACTATACGAACTAAGATTTATTCATCTCGTATGTTTGCATACCGGATAGACCCAAATGCATTCACACACAGGAGGAAACAACGGTTAGCACGGGCTAAGGAATGCCGCAACTTGTTCAGAATATACAAAAATCTTCACTCATTTTAACTATGATTATTAGTACAGTAACTAGGAAGGTATACATGATAGTTCTACGGTTATAATACAATACCAACACAAATTCAGAAAGTGCAGATTGTAGAATAACAGGGAGTAGCATCTTGTCGTCAGTTCATTTTTTTCCTGAAAATTGCTGCTAAACCCACAGGATTACAGAGCTATTATTACGAATTT